GCTACGTCCCATTATTTGAACGTTTTTTTTTTTCTTTTTTCAATTTCAATTTCAATTGTTTATTCCTTGATAGAGGAAGCGGGATCCTAGTGCTGTCACTAGGTACCCCTGTACCATAACACCAGAAGCAACTGGCAAGTGTCACAAGTATATACAGTACAGTCATCCCTTGGTTATCACGCCTAATTGGGACCCCGCTGAGTGCGTGATAACAAAAAACGCGATAACAAAAGTACAGAACCTTTGGGATTTATTCTAATTGGTTCCAGGCACCCAAGACCCAACCCCAAGTTTCCCATTTTACGACCATTTAGACCCACTAAATATATATATATAATGTTATGGTAAATATCATAAACACACATATAGGTATGGCTAGGTTTATTACAAAGTGATGAAAAGAGTACGCTTAATACTGTAGTCCACAAAACATGTAGCTATGTCTTTTTTTATTTGAGTCCCCCATCATAGGAGTCTGTTTTCTCTCGCTTCAGGACGCCTGAGTCCTTCGTTTTCTCTCAATCTTAGAGTGCGCCAGAGACTTCGTTATTCCTTAGTAATGACACAGAATTTGAAATTGCAACCCCAATTGCAACTGGGGATGCAATTGTTGAGGCAACTAGATATGTCTGATTACAGCAAATGTGATATTGTCAATTTGTAGGTGAAAGATTTTATCCTCAATAGATGTAGGTTAACATTACACCTGGAGGCAAATGCGTGATAACCAAATTCTCGGCCTGAAAAATGCGCTATAACGGCAGGTGTGCAGATTTTGATGAAGGCATGAAAACGAAAATTGCTATAATCAAGTGCGCCATAACCAAGGAATGACTGTATAAATAAATATTACAAAGGGACTTACTAAAGCCTCAGGAAGGATTGAAGGATAGTCCTTAACACATAATATCTGGACAGTATGGGGAGGATCATCGTGTCTCTGTCAGGGGGTCGTGGAGTGGTGGTCCAGCAGGCGTCACGGAAGTTTTTTTTTTTTTTGCCACGGACGTATATGCGATCAGACGTTATTCGGTTGGAAGTTAACCGGCGCATGACTGTATCTACACATTTGATATACTAATTCGCAATATTTTAAAAGCAAATTACCCAATAAGTTAAAAAATTTATTAGCACATTTTAATAAAATGATATTACTTCAAAATCGTGTATTAAAAACCTTCAAAATCCACATCATCATCAACATCTGACATCATAAGCTCTTCAAGTACATCCTGAGATACATTTATCTTTTACTTTTTACTTTTACCCTCTTCACCACTGATCGGCTCGTTAGCCGCCCGGGCGATCGGTCACGTCTCTGATTACTTTTCCTTTTCATTTATCTTCTTCACCAAAAGATCGGCTCGCTAGCCACCCGAGCGATGGGTCACGTCTCTGTCACGCACTGTTGGCAAATACTGGGCATGCACCGGCTCCTGAATGTACCTGAACCCGCTCCAGTGTTGGTCAAGTCTTGTCTTGAAAGAGCTCACACTCGGTGTCGTCACAACACTTTCTGGTAGATTGTTCCAACCCTCACTCTGAAAAAGTTTGCCCTCACAGTTTTCTGGACTTGAGGCTTCTTCAATCTTGAGCTGTGACCCCTTGTGGGGCGAGCATCTGCCAGCTCCAAGTAAGGACACTCGACTGAGTAGTGCCCCCTGAGATGCTTTTACACCTCAACTAGATCACCTCTTGCCCGTCTGTAGTATAAGCCCGGCAAGTTCAGGCGCTCCAATCTTTCAGGGTAGCTGAGGTGCAGAAGTGCAGGCACCAGTCTGGTGGCCCTCCTTTAAACATTTTCAACCAACTGACAGTCCCTAGCATATCTCGGGGACCAGACGGGGTGACAGTACTCCAGATGGGGAAGCACTTCACTCTTGAAGATCATTACGAGGTCTAGTATCTGAACGACCTTCTTGTAAGACCCAATAATTTATTTGCCTAATTTACCTTCTTCTCGCAATGGCCCGAGAACTTCAGCTCATTGTCAATATACACACCTAGGTCCTTCTCACATTCGGTCTTAGCTAGTGCAGCTTCTTAATTCCATTGGGACATATGATACGCCTCCTTACCGTTGGTACGCCCCAGGGGCATCCTCTTACACTTCGTGACATTGAATCTCGGCAGCCATTTCTTCGACCATTCTTGGAGCCCACAGAGGTCCTTCTGCAGCTCTTCACAGTCCGCTTGGTTCTTGATTTCCCGAAATAACTTGGCGTCATCGGCAAACATTTGTATGGAGGAATGTACAGCGTTAGCATGTCATTTATGAAACAAACAAACAACAGCGGGCCCAATACACTGCCCTGTGGTACCCAACTTGTGACAGGTACAGATGACGATTTCGTGCCATAAATCACCACACACTGCTTGCAGTCATGTGGAAAGTCTTCTATCCACGCTAAGACATTTCCCCGAATTCCGTACCCTTCCAGTTTGATTTTCAGCCTTTCATGTGGTACACTGTCAAAAGCCTTGGCAAAATCTAGGTAAATATTGTCGATATTACCACCCCGTTCCAGAATATGGGTCCAAATATCCAATACCTTGAGCAATTGTGTTAAGCAGGAGCAGGATTAAACTCCAAATCAGATGATTTGGCTTCAAATTCATTCTCAAACTCCCACAACATTTTATCCTCCGTACCATCCAGTGAATTAGGTATTCCACACTTTTTAAAAGACTTGATGACTGTTTCCACATTAATATCATTCCATGCCCTGATAACAAAATCACACAGTACATCCAGTTCAGGAGCATGCATATTCCTACCTTTTGTATAAGACTTTTTGCCGCTAATCATCCACTCGTTCCAGTGTTCATGAACACGGTCCTTGAATGGTTTGTTCCCTCTGTTAAATGACTCGTGAACATATCCCATACTAAGAGGCTGCGCTGTTTTTGAAAGCCACCATGTTGCCTACACCATATACTGTATGATCAATCCATAACTTGTTCGTCCATCCACCCTTTCTCGTTGTCGTGAACAAAAACTCCAGCTGGAAACTTGATTTTTTGGTATTGTTTTCCTCTTGAAAATTTTCATTGGGTTCAGCTTGGTTCCGTCTGCCATGCATGAAAGTGCTACTGTAAATCGTGTCTTTTCATGTCCTGTTGTTTTCACTAACACTGTTTTTGTGCTCTTTGTATCAACAGTATGATTACTGACCCTGTCAAAATTCATAGGTGTTTTATCCATGTTCCCGATGTTGCTTAATGGATAACCGTGTTTCTTACGTTGTTGTATTACATAACGATGGAAATTAGTAATTTTGCAATCCAGATCTGCTGGTAATTTTTGTGCTATTTTTGTTTTCTGCCTCAGTACTAGATAATTTCTTTCCATAAAATGGCTACACCATGAAGCAGTGGCTTTTGAAGTCTTTGCTGTGCTCTTGGTTTGCTTTAGCCCACTTAAGAGCCCAAATACGTATTTTGTTTCTTGATACAACGTATCCATTTTGACGCTGCTCACGGATCATGTCTACTGCATGCTTCTCTAGATTCGGCCAGTGTGCAGTGCCTTTTCTCATTGCACATTTCTTCCTGGGCATACTCCTTAGCAAGTGTTCCTTTAATCTCCATTCTCGTACCATCTTCTCGGTTACACCACATTCTCTTACAGCAGCACAATTGTTGTGTGACTTGGCATATGCTACCACTTTCAGCTTAAAACAAGCTTCATATCTCCTTTGTTTAGTATTTGGAGCCATGATGGGGTTTTATGGTAGGTGGATATTAATATAATGTTCATCCGTAGAGAGTGCTACTGCTTATGAAGGAGTGGCAACTTGAGCCTATCCAAGAAACTGTCTTTAAATACAGTTTATGGTATTTAAAGACGGTTGTTTGTTTACTTCGGCGGCAGTTGCAAATGGCGGGCAGTGCGTGATGATACCTGTGTTTATTATGTTGTTATTTTACGGTATTTATGGTATGTTAGACAGGTTTATAATACATTTTTATTATTTTAATATACACACTAAACCACAGGATGTAGAGGTTTGGATTTTATACCTGGCGTTTAAGATGACCCCTAATTTTGGGCGGATTTTTTTGAGGTTCAAATTCCGTCTTATATGCCGATATATAGAGTGATCATTTCTATGTGTGATCGTGGGATGGGGGAGTGGTAGTCACAATAGTTGGGTGCGGGAAAGGGTGAGGTAAGTGCGGCAGGTGGTCACGGGAGTGTGGTGGTGGTGGGTAGTGTGAGGTAGTGGTTACAGGAGTGTGGTGGTGGGTGGTGTGAGGTTGTGGTGAGTGATGTGAGACTGTGGTGGCTGGTGGTGTTGTTGTCATTGGTGGTGGTGGAGGTGAGTGTTGGTGGTGAGTGATGTTTGTGTTGATGAATGTTGTTGTTGGTGGTGTTGTGGTGAGTGGTGTTGTTGTTGGAGGTGGTGATTGTTGTGTTGGTGGTGAAGTGACCCATGTGTGGGTGTACTGTGAGCTGGTTATTGTTATTTTTCAAGTCATATTTACGGGTAGATATGCATTTGTTTGTTTTTTCTTGTTAGATGCACACACAATTTTCATACATAATGTGAAATATATTAAAGAAATTATTATCATAAAGTCAATAATATAAACATAATGAAACACTTACGACCAATGGAGTCACCTGGATTGTGTGCGTGGTGGCGGAAATCTAAGCGCTCTAGTTTCCCCGTGCCTAGTAAAACTATCGGCAACTGCTAATGCGCTAATTTTTTTTTATTTATTTATTAGTATAATTTTTATTTATTCCACACATTTACTGGTACTACAGCAACCCTGGTCCTTAATAGCCTTAGATAATGAGGAGTATATATAAAAAAATATGTGGTGAAAGTTCCCCCCTCTAATTTACATTAATTCTTATGGGGAAAATTGTCCTGATATTTGCAGTTTCATTAATCACAATGAATTTTTGGAATGCAAACCATGCGATAACCGGGGTTATTCCTGTACTGTACTGTAATTAATTTTAATTGTTGTTATTTTCTATTTTACAGGTCTCGGTAACCTTACGTGAAATCGGTCTTTCTTATCATGGAGGATACGCAATAACTGATCTCTTCGATAGTGTACATTATGGGACGGTTCTCCCTGATAAGAGATTCAAAGTAGATGTGAACCCCTCTGGGGTTGTATTGGTGAGATGTGAAGTCGTCAAAACAACTGGATTTGGGGGTGGCAGGCCACAGTTGATTGAACCTGCACCTCAAAGTTCTATCAGACCTCCATTCCAGAATCATCTCTTCAATCAGTTTGGACAACAGAGGCTTTTCTAAATTAATAGTAATGGTGTTTTCACTGTACAAAGATGTGTACGCTTCTACATGGCCAATATTTGTCATAGTTTCATTTATATTAATAAGATTTCCAGATATGTAGATTAAGCATTTTTATACATATTTAAATGCTTAGATATTAGCTTAGATGTGAATAGGAAACTATTTTATATCAGAAAGCATATGGTATTTCAAGTTCAGATATCCTGAGGGTGCTATTGGTTAACCATCAAGAGAGGGTGTACAGAAATTTTAATTTGGAATAATTGTTAAGTTGAGGTTGTATGTATTTATTTTGGGTAGAATCCTGACAAATATAATGGCTCATCAGCTTTATTCTTTAAATTTTTAATTATAAAACTTTGTGTATTCAATTTCTAGATTGGTTACTTTTGGTAGTACAGTACATGCAGCTCATGCACTGGACATCTTATATGTTCACACTGAAAAACAATAGTCTTAAAGGCTAGCAAATTAATTTTGGGGGTATATATAATGTTTATAATTTCATGTGTAATGAGTAATAGTGAGCCAATAGTTGAATTTCATGTCATGTCTATGACATGTTAAATGATGTGAGCCCTTTAAATTTGCCTGTGGAAATATCAAGTCATCGATAATTGCAGAAGTGTTACTTTAAAATTTGACATTGTAAAACTTTTCTCATAATACAGTTTTTACTATCTTTGATTGAATGTATAATTTATGCTGATTAGGTAAATTTTGAAATTTAAGAAACTGACATTCCAATTACAGTACTGTATATCTAGTTGTATATAAGGTGACCTTTGAAGCTTAAAAAATTTCCCTGAGGCTAAGGTTCATCTTATTTGCCAAGTATAAAATTTGAACCTTAAATCATAATGATGGCAGGCAGGGTGAGAGCATCACCTAACACTCACTCAGTAATCCTTTCTAAAATATTTCCTAGTGGAACTCATGTTTGGTAAACTTAATTAACATACAGATTTATATTAAAATAATAAAAATGAATTATTATTAAACTCGTCTTATCTAAAATTTATGTGTTGGGATTACAAGACAACATTAAGTTAGGATCATCACTCAATACACACCATCTCCAACAGCTGCTCAGTAAGATTGGTACAGTGTTCTTGTTTACATCATACTGTAGTATATCTAGCTGAAAGTTTTGAAACCTCTTTATTCACATAGTACGCCAACACACACACACACAGTACTTCAGTACATGCACAGTATTCTCACATATACTGTATAGTACTCTAATGCACTTAAGTATTCCAACACACACTGAACTCTAACGCACACACAGTAACAGTACTCCATCATGCTACCACCAATTTGTTTATACTGTGGATACACATATTTTTTTTGTTTTTTAACACTTATTTGGATATTTTATAGGAAAAATGTTGAGGAAAATGCCAGTGATGTGTGAGTAGTGTTTATTTAAATCATTGGCTGTGCACACTTATCCCCCATATGCACAAGGGTTACATTCTTGGAGATCATCGTAATCATGAATTCGCAAATACTGATTTTAATACCTTTGAGAAAAAATAGGGTATGGTATTATGGCTACCAAGATTATAATTTTTGTCATGGCATAATATTTTGGGTTAGAAATAATGAATGTTTCAGAGATGGTGTTGATATTTATATGGAGTAAGTTTTTGTAATACAAATTAATAAATTTTAACAAAAATAATTGTTTTCTCTACCTATAAATTGAGTATGTAAATAAATATGTAACTTAAATCACTCTTATACAGAGCAAAAGAGTAAAACTTACAATACCTTAATGTGGCTTAGAATAAAGAAAATATGATATAAAACAATAAAATAAGAAAAATGTGTGGAAGCTGTAACTTTGTCGCCAACTCGCTACCCACCATGATGTCATGGCATACACACACATCTCAGAGTCAAATGGTATATACTGCATGGCTGAACTATATGGCATTGCCCAGAGGATGGTTTGAGTGTGGAAGGAGCTATTATTTGTACATACAGTAAAATGTGTCGATAGGTAAATTTCTTTACGATGGCGTTAGGTTCTCGGGTTGAAATATCGTAACTCAGATTCATTATAACATGGGGTTCAATGGGATAGGTTCCTGGCACTTGATAAGATAAGGTGATATGCTGACATACTCTGATGGATCTAAGAGAGAGAAGACTGTGATAGTTAGAAAATATACTCAGGTGGTATGTTGATATCCCTTAATGGCGCTTAAGAGATATGCTGATATGCTTGGATGTGTCTCGTTGCATATACTAACATGCCACTAATGGCTCCCCGGAAAGCAGAAAACAAGTTGATCTGCTTCGAGGATACTAATCTGTAATACAGTATAGTCTGCATTTAAGGTCAATTGATCCGTGGAGGACACTTCAAGCAGCGCGTAAATGAAATAACAAGACATATGGGATTAGTGAAATAGAGACGGGCGACCCCAAGCACCACTTTTCCCGAGAAACAATTAAAATAATGATATACAGTATTCCTGACTGTCAAGGAGTATACTGGGATATTTCAATGTTGCTTTGTATTATGGTAAACTCTTGTACTGTTCTGGACATGTGTTTAACAGTTAACTTTCAGAAACTGATTATACTTAGAGTATGTTGATATACTCTAGTGTCTTTCAATGATCATCTTGTTATATATGTATAACTTTCATGGAATGAGAAAATAAGAATCGATACTTTTAAGCCAATGTGTTGATATAGTCTGATACCTCACGCTAAATTTAGATATATTCACATAATTTCAAGCGAGCCTGTTCATATATTCTTTATAGTTTTCAATAAATATGCTTATATACTCTGATAAAACTTTAGTAGTAAAATGATATACAGTACTGGTTACCATTCAAGGAGTATGCTGATACAGTATAGTCTGCATTCTGCGGTCAATTGAACCCGTGGAGGACCACATAAAACAGAAAGCGTAAATGAAATAACATATGGGATTAATTGAAATAGAGACTGGGCCGACCCCCAAACTCCACTTTTTCCGACACAATACCTATGTTGTAGTAAAAATAACATCCTAATTTTATGATGGTATGCACACATAATTAATAATTAAGAGAAATATGAATAATATTAGGTTTTTTAGCACTTACATTAGTAGAAAAGCTGGATACACACGAAGATGGCGGTTGCTTCTGAGGCAGAGGGCAGATTAGTTGCCCTCCGGTGAATCACTTTCACTTTCACTACTCGCAGAGGTTTGCAGGGGCCTCCCAGACAAACCCCTCAAAGTCATATCCTCACTGTCAATATCACTATCACTGACTTGGGCTGGCTGTGGTTTGTGTGGTGGGTTCTTGAGGCGAGGAAGTCCTCAATATACTACACACTGATGACTAGCATTGATGTTGTGGGAGATAGATCTGGATATACGACCCATAAATTTAGATCAGATGGTTACTAGGCGCTTCATACCCGTCTTGTCGGGGTGCGTTGGCAGGGGATGAGAAACTAACTTTCTCCCCAACTTCGATGATTTCCTTTACATTGTCATGGTCCGCGTTGAGTGGCTAGTCTGTTTTAACCCTGTTGATTCTTATTAAACTCCTTACTGACTGCAAAACATATGAAGGATAGCTGTGGTTAGCTATCCCTAGAAGGCTGTTTTTCATTAAGTTTTACACTGTTGATCCCTCCCAGTAAGTCCTTTCGAACACAGTTGTCAATACGTTGTTTATTCCACTTCTCCTGGGAGCTCAATCTTGGATTAGTCTGTGTAAATCAACTTTCGAGTAATTAGCCAGACCTTTGTCAACTAAGGTCATCATTGAATGAATAGACAGTTGAGTTGTTTGTAATCCCTGTCATTCGTGAGTAGCGATAGCTGGCAACTCAGGGGTATATATACCCGCGGGTAAGGCAGGGAGAAGCGTCCCCAACGTCTGCTCTCCCATTTGTACTCAGGTATGTTCTGTGTTCCCTAGCCATTCAGTTTGATTCAGTCAATTGTAGTGAATATCAGTGTTCATCAGGGTTCATGCTTCAACAGTTGAATTGTCATTCACCCAGTGTAAGAGTAATATAGCGTAAATGTAGTCTGTGGTTCAGACAAAGAGATTTGTTGTGATTGTGTTGCTCATGCTCGTCCCCTGGCGTCTGCTTTGTCTCCCAGATCCAATTTGTAGCTCTTGAATCACTCAACAACTGCCGGATTCAGTAGATGCAGCAGGGGATTAATATATGAAAGCGATGGCACCGATTAGAAGCATGATTAATCTGCTCCACTACCTCGTGGGCCGGACTATGCGCCATGTGTCTGGCTACCACGATCCACAACAGCGATCACCATTGAGCCCCAGTGTTCTACCTGGGGCGCTCCCTGGAAATTATATGTCACAGAGTGTGTTGTAATATGCTTGGGGACAATTAACAGGAAATAATTATCCCATGTTGGGTAGTGGACCCATGTATCTGCTGGTTTCGTGTGCGTGTATGTTGTGAGTGCATCTCATATGCACTACCAACAGTCAGTAAGTTGTATAAAATACCTTGTAATGTGTGAAGTACAGTTGTTGTCCACTTGGGACTAGGAGTAAGAATCAGCAACTGTAATGAGGATGTACCACTAGAAGATGTGGGTGAAGTAGAAGTCCCACTTGGAGTGGTAGTAAGTAATCTACAAGGAGTGCCATGTATTATGTATTGTGAGTAGGGCCAAGGAACCGGTCCTGCTAGGTAATATGTGTAACACCAGTAGGTTGTGTGCGGCCAGAGTGGGATCTGGTAATTGCTGTTGTTGAGTAGAAATAAGAAAATACTGAGTCTTTAATAAGCCAGGAGTTGAGCCTGGTAGTTATATGTTAATAATATCTCTTTTTCCTTTGATTTTATTAATAAACCTGTTCTTGGAAATTATTCTAGGAGTATTCATTTCTCCCACAGTAGTTACCTTTATTTCGGTCCGGTAGGCGATACCAGAATTACCATACCCATGTGCGAGACCCTGCGTCCATGCTGCAAAAGGAACTGAGGTTATGTAACCAGTGAACTGAAAGTAAGTAAAAGAAAAAGTAAGTAAGATAAGGGTGGTGTAGGTGTTGAAAAGCATGGCCACTTACAACATCATCATGGCTTAGTCCAGGGGGAAATTCAATGTTTTTCTCTGGTGGTGGGGGTCAGCGGCAGCCATTGTATGTGTGAGGGAATAAGCGGGCACAAGAGAACTGTATACGCTAGGTCAGCTTTGTAGGTCTGAATGTTGGTTCACACTCAGGATGGGATGGAGAAAGAAACTCACAATGTGCTCTCTGTATACATATTATATTAGATGTACAATGCAGCTTGGTGGCTGGTGCTGGGAGGAGGCAGCGTGGTTACCACCTGGCGTGAGTAGGGAGACCTGGTTGGTGAGGGTGCTCCAGAGGAGGTGTTGCTTGCTGCTGGCTGTAGCTAGAAGAAGGGGCAGGTCCGGCCCAGGTGTGGTCTTATATAGCAGGGGTGGCATGGCTTGATGGTAGGCCCCGGCACGTTAGGCGTCGCTGGTTACCTGACCATGACCACAAGGGATAAGCTGGTAGATTAGCGGGGTCGGCCAGTCAGTGACACCACGGCATTTATGGGGAGGAATCCACTACAACTCCCCCCCCTCCCCTCTGGGTGGTGCAGGAGACTCATTGTCGGCAGGGTTGTATGCCACCACGTGAGACATAATGGTGAGGGTATTGGATGAGCCAGCATCACGGAAAACGACTCTGTCGAACTACGAGATCTGTGGGAGAGGTAGAGGGAGGAGTAGGTTTGTGGATAAGTGTGAGAAGGTTTACAGAGAATGTGAGGGTGCTTCCTGCTTGGCCGGGTAGGCAGTCCTCCCAGTGGCAGGTGGGGGTGTCTGGGTCAGCGTCAGGAGCAGGGGCCCGCGTCGGGGAGGGTCCATGACAGCCCAGGAGGAGGGGTGCAAGACAGAGCAGTGGGTACCTGATGAAGAAAAGCCCAGAAATATTTGTGGGCGAGGTGGTGCTGCAAGGGGTGGTAGTAGGAAGACTGGTGAGTGTGGGAAGAATGTGTTCAGGGGCTGATTGGGAAGGCTGGCGTGGGGCAGTAGCCTTGAATGCGAAACGCCTGGCCGTGAGTGTTTTGTATGTGGAGTGGATTCACGGGCAGCAGGAGTGAAGTAGTCAAGGTCAAGTAAAGGCGTGTGATGTACTGCTTGATGGTAGCGAAGGTTATAGCGCCTACGTTTCTGTCGATATTAAGCTTCCCTGTGTGTGTGGTTGCAGGGGGCCTCACAGCACATCTAGCATTAGCACCAAAACGTTGATGGTACCAACAGGGGGTAGATACACACTGTGCTGGGGGTGTCTGAGGCAGGGCCAGGGTGTGTTGGGGTCGGTAGGGCGTGGTGCATGAGTTGAACCCGGGTCCAGCAGCAGGCATGGAGGAGCAGAACTGTTCAATGGTGTCCATCCTGCGGTTCCAAAATTTGTAACAGGTCCTGATGTCTTGTAAGGTATTGCTCAGCTGAGGGTGTTGACCCGGCTTACAGAAGTTGGGGTGGGCTTACTGGTGGTCGTTACTTGGGTTGTCGGCAGCTAGACGCGGCAGCGCTATTCCTTTCGTTGAATATTCTGTCTGCCAGCGATTTGTGTAGGTTCCGGGTGTCGTGGAAGTAATCTACCTGCTTGGATAGGATGATGCGTACTTGTGGGGAGCTTTTGCAGCTATAGTGAAACTGAGGCAGGATAGGGTCGTGAAGTCTGTCTGCATGCACGGTGGTTCAGCCTACATCTACCTCCCAGAGAAGTCCGGAGTTGAAGGTTTCAAGGGAGATGAAGATAGGTTCTGCAGGAGACTGGGGTGGGTCCTTTGGCTTGTCGTTTTAAGGTGTCCACTTGGGTGGCGGAATTTGTTGTACTCTGGAGGGTTGGAAGTAGTCCGTGATACATGCGTGGCGACTTCCGTGGGCAAGGAAGGCAGAGCGCCGTGCTGCTCATCAGTAGCGTGAGACGATGAGGATTGCTTCCACATGATCTAACCAGTCCTCGACGTTGTGGTTGAAAGTCGGTAGAGATCAAGATCCATCCATTCTGCGGAAGTGTGTCACACAGTCGTGAATGGTGTTGTAGTGGAGGTGGGGTAGCCGCGTGGTGCGGAGTGGTGTGGAGTAGGTGGAGGTGGAGTGCCGCGTGTTTGTAAAGAGGCGGTTGGCCTAGGCTGGCAGCAGGCAGGACGATCTTCTCAGCTCCAGGGTAAAGGCAGCGAAGGTATTGGTGAACACGCTCAGGGATCACCAATTGTAGGTTTACATGAGATGTTTCTCCTCCATCACATATTGAGTCTGAATCTCCGGGGTCACCATGGGGTATGAGATATTTGGTTCACACTCAGGATGGGTTGGGAAAAAGGGAAACTCTAATGTGCTCTCTGTCTACATATTATATTGGATGTGTACAATGCAGCTTGGTGGCTGGTGCTGGGAGGGAGGCAATGTGGTTACAAGCGTGAGTAGGGAGGAAGCTGGTTGGTGAGGGTGCTCCAGAGGAGGTGTTGCTTATACTTGTGAGAAGAAGGGCAGGTCACGGCCAGGTGTCAGTCTTATATAGTGGGGGTAAGGTGTGGCGAAGCGGTAAGTACAGGCCCCGATTTATTCGGCGTCGCTGGATTTACCTGACCTTGGACCACGAGGGATATGCTGGTAGATTCGCAGGGGCCAGCCAGTCAGCGACACACTGCATTTGTAGGGAGAATCCACTACAACTTCTTCCTCCGTGAGCAGGGAACGCCATATCACATTAAACCAATCACAGCTAGTGGGGAGAGAGGTAAGGATGATGGCCAATCGCAGTTCAATAAGTCATATGACGTCACTGATAACGCACAGCTCACCCTCACTGCGCCGCTTCGCCAGTAGTCAGGCATGGCAGGAGATGGGGGAGGTTTGAATCTAAAATGGTGCACGGCGGACCGCCAGTTTCCACGAATGAACAATTTACCGCGTAATTAAAGCAATTCAATTCTGGCATGGCACCGCCAGAATGACAAAACAAGTAAACAAAAACCGTGTAAATCCACACTCAACTGTACAGTACAGTACTGTACTTAGATACCAGACGGTATTTATCGAAGTATAGTCTTGTATACTTCGTTCTAAAGAATGCTGATGAACTGACATGACATACTGCTTTTGTAACTGAATGCTACGTAAGTGGTGTGTGTATATGTATATATATATATATATATATATATATATATATATATATATATATATATATATATATATATATATATATATATATAAAATCAAAGACCTCACCATATGGTACTCGTGTTTCACACCAGCGAGGGTAAAATGCTACTGACATCCATAAATGGCACGGGCAGTTCCCAATGGGAGGATCACGGCCATCAGCACGATGAACAGGCTTTTGTGTGAAATAACTGCTTTAGTGTCACTGTGGCATGGTCGGTAGCGCTCTAGTCCCACACAGTAAGTCGAGGGTATGAGTCCTGGCTGTGAGGTCGTTGATTATATGTCCAAAGTCCGCTATGTTATGGATTAAAATGAAGTATATATATATATATATATATATATATATATATATATATATATATATATATATATATATATATATATATATATATATATATATATATATTTCATTAGCCAATAAACACGCTGACTTCTACATACAATATATATATATATATACACACAACACACACAGTGAACTCATGACAAGGTCAATTGAACCCATGGAGGCCCGCCAGAAGTGAACAACAGAACATATGGGATTAATTGAAATAGAGACTATGCACCCCAAACTCCACTTTTTCAGATACAATACCTACATTGTAGTAAAAATAACTTAATTTTATGATAGTATGCACACACAATTAATAATTAAGAGAAACAGTAATAATATTAGGTTTTTACTTGCACTAGTAGAAAAGATGGCTGGGCACATGGATGGGGTTGGTTCGAGGCAGAGGGCAGATTATTGGCCTCACCTGTATCACTTTTATCAATTGTATAACTATCCACCACAGAGGCTTGCAGGGCCTCTTTGTCAAACCCTCAAAGTCCATATAAGTCCAAATCCTCACTATCACTGACTTGGGTAGGCTGTGGTGGCGGTGAACTCGGTATGTTTTGATGACTGGCGACTTTACACACCCCTGCCTGCGCCGCCTCAGCGTAAAAGAGCATACAACGCGAAAGTGAGCATTCGGTCTGGCGGGTACAGCGAAATGTAAAAAAAAAAAAACGCGAAAAGGGATAATACTGTGTGTATATAAATATACAGTGAACCCTCACTTTACGCGGTCAATTGAACCCACGGAGGCCCGGAGGCCAGCGTAAAGTGAGAAAAGTGAGAAAAGCGTAAAGTGAACAGCATAACATATGGGATTAATTGAGTGAGAAACGCGTAAAGTGAACAACATAACATATGGGATTAATTGAAATAGAGACCGGGCCGACTCCAAACTCCACTTTTTCCGACACAATACCTATGTTCTAGTAAAAATAACATCTTAATTCACACAATTAATATTTAAAAGAAAAAGAGAAATACAGTCGCCAAGTTAATGTCCATTCAAAGAATGGATTCAACTCCCTCCCCCTCTTCTCACACTCGCTGGCTCTTCCCTCTCTGAGAAATGTTTGGGGGAAAACACTGGATTTTAAGGTATAGAAATAAATAATACCTCAAACTAAAGTTAGGATAATATAATTGACATTGCTGGATCTTGTAAGACCAGGAATATTTTGAATATAAATATATATTTTGCACAAAAGATAAATATATTTACTCAGAGGACAAAATACTTACATTAGATCTAAAATTTGTATGTCTAATGCAAAATCTATGATGTTTATATTCAAAATGATCATCAAATTGTAAGAATTCCACAATGTAAATTATATTCTGGCCGGCTAATTTGTATGAATTTTATGAGCTAAAACAAATATCTTCAGTTAACAAAAACAAAATATTCTTCACGACACTATCTGTCAATCAAAATACCCCACCTTGCCTCCTTTCCCACCACGCCAGCTGTCGGGTCGGTCCCTCCCTTCCCCCACCCCCACCTTCTCCCTACCAGAGAAATGTTTTGGAGAAACCAGAATATTTACCTTTTAGTAATAAATAATACCTCAGACTAAAGTTAGATAATATATTCACATTGCTGGATTCCTTGCAAGACAGGAATATTTTGAATATACATGTCATATATTTTGCACAAAAGATAACATATTTGCTTAGAGTAAACAAAATACTTATAGTAGACCTAAAATTTGTATGTCTTATGCAAAATCTATGAAGTTTATATTCAAAATGATCATCAAATTGTAAGAATTTCAGCAATGTAAATTATATTCTGGCCGGGTACTTTGTATGAATTTTATGAGCTAAAACAAATATCTTCAGTAAATAAACAAAATATACTTACCCAAATACTATCTGTCAATCAAAATACCCCACCTCCCCTCTTCCCACCTGCAAATATATGACATTTATATTCAAAATGTTCCTGGTCTTACAAGGAATCCAGCAAATGTCAATTATATTATCCTAACTTTAATCTGAGGTATTAATTAATACAAAATGTTAAAATTTATTTTTTCACCCACTCTTCTCTTGAAGGGACGATTGGTGGGGGTGGGGAGGGTTGGGACTGACCGCTGCGGTTGGAAGAGGGTGAGGCAAGGTGGGGTACTTTGACAGATAGTGTCCTGAAGAATTTTTTTTTATTAACTGAAGATATTTGTTTTAGCTCAA